GATAACATGTGATAATGCCCAAAACAAAAGAAATATAGGTACTTCCATGTGACAAATCATTTTGATTCATTTAGCGAATCTTATAATAGTATTGTTATTTTCAGACGATGCCGAATACGGATCGTTGTAAAAGAATCTCAAGCGTCAGGTTACTGTGTAAGTACATCGATGACCATATTCGCAAATCGTATGATACGTACGAATATGGTAAGCGATCTACTAGTGTCATCATTTATGTCCATGGCATATATACTAAAGTACTTGGGAGACTGCCTCGTTGGCCGAGTGGTCGCAAGTGTGACTGCCGGGCAAGGGGTCTCGGGTTCGATTCCCGGGTCGGGCAAAGTATAACTGGGTTTTTAAAAATCTCAGTAGTAGCACGGAGTCTGGAAATGTGCCCGGTATATGGCAATAGGCTCACCCCCTATTACATGGGACTTATAACATAAATAGTGAAAAGTGGGTGTTACATTGTACAGTGGCATTAAGTGCCGTAATGTGCACCTCTGCCTACCCCTTCGGGGATAAAAGGCGTGATGTTATGATGATAATGATGATGATACTTGGTATACTAATCATAAACAAATCCTAAAAAGCTTATGTCCAAATCCTCAACCGCCACTAAATTTTAAGTACCTAGCGCTTAAGTATAGTTCTGTCACTACAAATTCTTTGTAAAATGACAGAGATGGCACGATATTCAACTGCAACTTAAAGTTGAATAACCTTTCAGTATTTGAGCGTTAAGTAAATAGAAGATACTGCTTAGAATTGACAATCTACGCTTTTGACCTTTTAGCTGTTAGCACAGTGCTTTCGATCATAAACCGTACGTAGAGGTGCATAATTCAAATTGTAACATCCACTTTACAACAATTATGTTAGGATTAGACGTCTCATGTAAATAGATGGGTGGCAATATGTTATGATGAGTAATGAAAGATAATGTTAATAAAAGTTATGCTTTTTACATAAAGAGACAGACTTGCATATTTTCAGAGCTTTTTGTTTTATAAGTTCTGTTACTAAAGTGTCTTAGTTATAGTGGTTATATATATATAGCTTACTACTTCTTGCCTATTACAATACTATTTACGTACTTAAATTAAGAGACTACAATATGAAAGAATGACACACATTAAATTCGTGAGGAGCTCTCAGGAGGATGCAAGGTGGTTTATGGTCAATTTTGATTTTATGACAGTGTGTCCCCTTGAGGTCCAGTAAATTGGACTTAAATAGGTAACTGAGGCGTTATTATGTACTAAATAGACGTAGGCGTTGTAGTTAAGTATATAATATACTAGATTACATGATCTTCACTGAACGATCTCTTTCTAAAGTTGATGATGATGTTAACATCATGGTGACATCGTGTCATCTTTTGCACTGTCAAGGGTAAAGACGTCTCAAAGAGCCATCAGGCCTCAAAGAGTCATCAGACTATCATAGATGGGGCCCAATGCGGCTATTTTTTTATGGAATAGCAGAGGCAATCTAGTAGACGGATCACCTGATGGTGGCAGCATCAAAGGAGTCACAGGTGCGTTGCCGGCCTTCTAAAAAGGAATACGCTCTTTTCTTGAAGGCTTGCCCGATACGGAGACGCAGAAGACTTAACGGGTTGCCGAGGCTTCGGCTCGAAGAACACAGAAGTAGGAACGAGGTGGTGTTTAGTAAGTAAGAGTCTGATAGTCCCTCTCGCCTCACCCAAGATGGGAGAAGTAATTGGATGATTTTGCGCCCTCAATAAAAGGGTAAAGACATAATGTATGTTATAAATATGTAACGCACATTTTTAACTAGTAATGTTGAATCCAATATTAATACGGAAAATAACGCCATAAAACCAAATTTAAAACAACACAATTCCAAGTTAATCGTTTGACAACAATCTAATTAAATAAATGGAGGAAGGAAGATAAACTGGCTTGATTATTTCACGATATATCCTTGTTTTTATCTACTTATACATAATGTACCCAACGATATCGCAAACATATTAAAATATTCTTTGAAAAGACCGGTACGTGCAATAAGAACCTGCATGCTTCTTGTTCAAGGAATTAGTGTTCGAGCATTAAACAGGAACTTATTATTATCGACATAGGCACATATTAAAAATATGCTGCCACGTTGGCCGAGTGGTCGCAAGTCGGCAAGTGCAACTTCCGGGCAAGGGTCTCGGGTTCGATAAGCGGGTTGGGCAAAGTATTAATGGGTTTACAAATTCTCAGTAGTAGCACGGAGTCTGGAATTGTGTCCGGTATATGGCAATAGGCTCACCCCCTATTACATGGGACTCATAACATAAATAGTGAAAAGTGGGTGTTACATTGTACAGTGGCGTTAAGTGCCATTATGTGCACTTCTGCCTACCCCTTCGGGGATAAAATGTGTGCTGTATTACATTATATTTTATTTTAATAAATTATGAGTAACAGTAAGTAGGCATTTGTTGAGTAATAGCTGCAGTAAAATAATGCTGCTACGCAAACCGAATAGGATACCAAAACCACAAATATGATGTATAATAGCTTAGGTATTAAAAACAGAGCGATTAAACCAATGAGTACATAATGGTACCTAACTACTATAACTGTTATTTATATCATTTCGCGACTGTTTACATAATACATCTAAGTCCTACTAAACTGCAACTCCTGTAAGCCAGGATCAACACATTACCAAAACACTGAAGTCCGCTACGTCTTAAGCTAAGGATATAAGTAACTGACTGACTTGCTTTTTGTTTCTGGGATATGCCGAGTAAACGAGCAGACGGATAAGCAATTGGCGACGCCCATGGACACTCGACAGACCAGTGCCTTTAGCCAAACGCCACTTTACCGCTTGTCTAGAGAGAGTAGAAAACTAAATATATGGGGATGACACTGAAGCGTCAAAATTTACGTCAATTCCATATAATTTGGTTTTCTATTCTACATGTACACAAGCGCTAAGTGGCATTTGGCTACAGCTGCAGAGTCGTTACAAGAGTGTTGCCGGCCTTTTGGGGATTAGGAATTTGTCGATTGTTAGGTATTTGGAGATTATGTAGATTGGGGGAGGGGGGGCTCCTGTAACCTCACTCACACGGCGAAATACAACGCCACTCTTGTTTCACGTTAGTTTTCTGTGAGGTGTTTTTTGATCCAAAATCAAAATAAATCAGATGTCATTATAAGAGTGTTAAACCTAGCATCAGCTGGATCCTTATCCTTAGGGGTATACTGTAATTGGGATAACAGTAATCTCACTTACACGGCAAAATACAACGCAAACGTTGTTTCACGGCAACATTCTGCAAATTCGGCCTACCACAATATCAAGTCAATAAGCCAGTAGGTACCTATCTATACCTATTGAAATACGTATAGTTATTTATATTCTTACGAACATTGACCTACCGTTGGCAATCAAAACAGTTCAGGCCAAAACTAAAATAAAGTCTCGACGTATTTTGAAACAGCATTGTTATAAAAACAAATTACTGTCAAGTGTCAATGGGCAACTCTTATTACATTGTATATATGTGCAATTCTGTCTGCCCTGCAGGGATTAAAAAGGCGTAACGTTGTATGTCAATGTTACCTAATTACGTCTATACATCCGTTATACAGAAGCTATCTTCTGTCGACGGATACGCCCGCTTTCCCGTAGTATAAAAAGTGGGCTACCTATGTGTTAATCCACAGCATATTCTACTCCTCTTCCAATCGCTTCAGCCGTTATGAGGTGACGGAGTAACAAACAAACAAACATACATATAACATTACATTATAATATTAGTAGCATTATGTAAACACTACCTCTGACTGACTGCCTCGTTGGCCGAGTGGTCGCAATTGTGACTCCCGGGCAATGGGTCTCGGGTTCGATTCCCGGGTCGGGCATAGTATTACTGGGTTTTTTCAAAAAATCTCAGTTGTAGCACGGAGTCTGGAATTGTGCTCGGTATATGGCAATAGGCTCACCCACTATTACATGGGACCCATGACATAAATAGTGAAAAGTGGGTGTTACATTGTACAGTGGCATTAAGTGCCGTAACGTACACCTCTGCCTAGCCCTTCGGGGATAAAAGGCGTGATGTTATGTTATGTTATGTCATTATGTAAATAATAAAATATGTTACACCTAGTGGCTCGTTTGTGTAGTCGACGTTACTAGATCAAATTGCAATTTGTACTCCGAGAATCCTTGCTGGCATTGCCTGCGCATATTTGTATAATAATAACCTAATTTAAGGTGTAAATATTTTAATTTTTAGTTATTTGTATTTTAAGTAGTATATATTTATTCATACTTAAGTTATTTAAGTTTATTTTTTGTCGAAATAAATACTATGTAGTGAAAAGTGAGTGTTACCTACATTGTACAGTGGCATAATGTGCACCTCTGCCTACCCCTTCGGGGATAAAAGGCATGATGTTATAATGTAATAAAATCGGTTTATAAACAACGGAGATATCGGCGAACAAACATAAAAAAAAAAAGCATATATACGGTCGAATTGAGAACCTCCTCCTCCTTTTTTTGAAGTCGGTTAAAAATACTATGTATAAATATCAACTATGTATTATTACAATTAAGGTCAGAACAGGTATAGAAATTAAAATTATGTATACGGAAAATAAAAAACGAAGTGTCCAATAAAAAAAATTAGGAAAATGAAATGTATTTTACATGTTTTTAAAGTTTAATTTTCCTGTTACCTACGATGAGCTATCGAAAATAACTAGCTAAATACTGATGTTCAGCCATAGAAATGTCAAGTGAAATGAGGAAATATAACGCTTAATATTTTGTATCATAGATAAGTTAAACAATTATTTAACTACAGTGTAAGTGATGTAGGTACTTCTTTCCTTTATAAAGACAATTTCAAATACATTTTATAATCTTTTAATTAAAGAAATGGTCCTTCAGAATTCCATCTCCTATACCCTTACATAACACTAACAAACAAAGAAAGTATGACATAATTATAAACATACCCCATCTTTTCGGCGTGCGACCCAAGAAGCTGTTCTCCTCAGGGTTATAGATCGCATTCGTGAACCTGGACAAGCAGGTCCCAGGAGGAGGAGGAGCTCGCACCCACTCCTCAACTCCATTAGCCTTATTCGCCATTTTCAGTGTCTATTTTACTGTAAACTTTCGATAAATCCCTAAATAGTACGGGATTGTAAATACGGCGCGTCCGTCATTCACGACGGTGTACGGTACACTGCGCGTACGCAACTGTGTCGTTGTTCAAGTGTTGAATAGGTGTCGTTTGTAAACGTCTGGATTTGTGATTTATGCTCGTTGTCGCCTTGTCGTGTGTCGGTATGACGGTGTCCAGAGGAAATACTTTGATTCATTTTGATAATGGACAACTTTGATGTTTTTTGGCATCTTAGTTTTGTATTTTATTACATTTAAGTCGCACATACAAACTCATTTGGTGTTCGATTAATGAGTTCTAGTTAGCCAGTCGGTAGTCCAGTTAACAAACGTAAATAAAATAAATATTAATTTAAATTCGTTTTCCAATTGGTGTAAGTAATTGCTTCTGAAATTAGGTAGATTTTGCCGGATCAGCTAGTTCACAAATTGCCATTAACATAGGTCAATCATAAAGTATCGCAAGCAATTGTTTACAAAACATGGTTTAATTGTTTATGTTATAGATTCATACTAATACCGGCTACAATAACTGCGATTTACTTACAGTAACCTTCACATTACGATAAACTATCAAGACTTTAAAATTATAATTAATCAGTCGAACCTATTATGCTGTTTATAATGAGTTTACGATTTCAATACTGAACTATTGTAGATATTGTTTATGACTTGGTGCTTGCAGGGAGACATATTAAACATCACATTTAGGAAGTAGATCGTTAATCCAATTACAAATTACCAGAAGAACGGTATCCGTTACTTTCTACGGCATAGAGTAGGTACAGTATCGGGGCAAAACATGTAATCTGAATGAAAAAGAACATGCATATTTCAAAATCAGGACACGAAATAGTCATTTTACAAAAACACCAATTTAACAACATGCCTGTAACTAGTAAACACGTGCAAGGGGAACATGTGTGAGAGATTGTCAGCTTACCAGATGAAGTTTTTGTGTCCACAGTCCAGACACATCTATATGATAAACTTAGTATTATAATTCTGAAGAATTTGTTTCGTTGAACACGCTTATCTATTGAACATCTGTTTCGAATTTCAAATATATTTTTACTAGCATTTACCCGCGGCTTCGCTCACGTCACAAAAGGATAAAAAGTAGCCTATGTGACATTTACATACAGCGCCATCTATACCAATACTTTTGTTTTCCCTCGGGAATATCAATTTTTTCCGGGGTAAAAAGTACCCTATTATTTAATCCGGACTTCTAACTTTACGTCTGAAAAAAATCAAAGCAATCGGTTTAGTAGTAACGGCGTGAAAGCGAAACAAACTCACTTTCCGATTTATAATATTAGTAAGGATAGTAAGGATAAGGATGCTCGAAAGTTCATTTATCGGGAAAGTCTATGGAATATTACGCTATGAGTATTAGAAGCTGAGCTGCGGCGGAAACCACGAGAATAGCTAGTGAATGCGCTTATAGGGACATACGAGGGAAGTCGAAGCTGGGAAGTCTCGTTAGATACGTAGGTACTGCCAACAATAACATTATTATACTGCTGAATCTGACACTCCATTTTTGAAATGTGTCTTATGATTTCATTCACGAAGTCTGAGGAAAATTGTAAGCTCATCTGTCTAGTTATCTTGATATAAGAAGAAGCCACGACCACCAAGTTAGTTTCGGCACTTTTATTTTCTTTTAGCAATTGAATAAGAACGCCTCCGTTAGTATTCCTTCATAATCTATGCTAGGAATAACAATAATTACGTTGCTGAAGCTGGTCATCATTTTCTCTTCTGGAGTTTCTTGCTCGTTTTTCTCCATTCGAATCTACATTTTGGAATGAGCTCCTAGCTTCACCTAGCTTCACTGACGGACTGACTGACAGACTATTATTTATTTTGTATTTGTTGAAGTTTCAAAAGTACCAAATTATGGTTTAATTGAAATAAATGCTTTGACTTTGACTTTGACTTTGACTCTGAGAAAACATGCTATGAAAAAGAACGTGGTAAGTAGCCTTGGGAGTTGTAACCCACCTTCTTTTTTTTAATACGTTGCCTCACTCTATGATTTTCTCCTGTGTCGTAGTTGACATACAATAGGTACCTACACATGCCACCTAGATCCGAAACAACAATTTGTGGAACACACAAAGAGTTGATCCATACGGGAATCGAACCCACTATACATTGCGCGGCCACCAGTTGCCCAGCCACTTTGTCAACCGTGTAGTCTAATTAAAGTCTAATCTTTGGTAGTTTAGAGTTTGGAGACCAGAAAAGTAGATAGCGACCTAACAGAGACGAACTATCTTCTATTATCGCATAGGCAAGAGGTAGATGGAAACGCTAGATTCCTATACCAACTAATACAACCTTGTGACAAGGTCAGACTAAAGGGAGTGATTACAGTCAGGACAACTAGTCTGGCTCGCATCCGTACTTCGAGCCATTACGGCACACCACTTATTAGCCCGGGCCGGTAATAGGGTGCGCACACACGACGTACACATGCATGTCTTCAAGGACTTGTGTACCGGAAGACGCGTGGGACGTAATTACGAAGCGCCTATACTGGGTATGGGGAGACCTAGGATGACCTAGTGAATACGGTAGTTGGGTACCAAGGGTATCTTGGTGATTGGAGGATAATTATTCTAATACGCCTTGTTCTAATGCATGGGTATTTAGATACCTACGTCGAAATTACGTGGGACTTGGAAGAGCCATGCATCGGCACAAATGGCTTGACTGGAGTGATACCGAAATTACAGGCGAGCATGAAACAACACTTGCATTGTATCTTTAAGCTATAAATCCCTAAGTAACGAATAAGGGTATTGACAAATCTTTTTGCAGTTTTAAATCTCCATATTACTCTATTCTAGGACATTTAAACTACGCAATACCTCTTTCCGCTTCCATCAACTCCGTCTTCACAAGTGCTGGGCCGCCTACCAGGTAGTGTTGTCATAAAATCGATTAAAAATATGTCCGTGTGGTCTGCGTTCCTGGGGCCACACTCAATGAGATCATCTCCATACTGCAGTGAGTGGGACTGTAATGCATCACTATTTTAAAGATGGCTGCTTGTCCAGATTAAGTGTAGGCAGCTAATACCACTGGGAGAGATAATATGAATGATCAGCTGGTTGTCTAAAGGAATGTCGTGGAAAATAAGTATCGCTATTGCTAAAGATGTGCAATTGTAATGATTCGGTTTTGATCGAAATATTTTTAGAGCGACACGTCTAGAATTGTATCTCACTTAAGTCCTTAGATACTTATTGTTAATCGTAATATAACATAACTCACAAAAGCGTGATGCTTTTTATCCCCGAAGGGGTAGGCAGAGGTGCACATTATGGCACTTAATGCCACTGTAGAATGTAGAATGTAGCACTCTCTTTTCACTATTTATGTTATGAGTCCCATGTTATAGGGGGTGAGCCTATTGCCATATATCGGGCACAATTCCAGACTAAGTGCTACAAATGAGAATTAAAAAAAAACCCAGTAACACTTTGCCCAACCCGGGAATCGAACCCGAGACCCCTTGCCTAGTAGTTTCACTCGCGACCACTCGGCCAACGAGGCAGTTATTGTTAATCAGTCTGTGAAGATTAGTCCTGGATATCCGCAGGGGAAGGGAAAGGTACTAGCTTGCTGTTGGTACTTAGGTAAGTTAATTATTATAGTTATAGGTAGTTGTAGATACCTGTAAATGCTGCGGAAAATTTAATGGTTGCTACATAACAATCGTGTAGGTATACAGGCTAGAAGCTACCCAACTAATAGCAGTCTTTAGCCAAGGAAATATTAACCAATCAAGCTCAGAATTCGACAAGAGTTTACTTCGGTAATCTTCTAGAACCCGGGGCTCATGTTATAGTCTACGACTGGGTAACGGTCGTCGCCGGTGCGCCGGCGCAGGAAGGAAATTACTCGTCCACTTGCAACGTCTGTCGCTAGGAGGGAATGGCCGGCAGGCGACAACCCACGTAGGCCAGGAACATAACTACATATTATATGTAACTAGCGACCGGTAGATTCGCTTGGTGATATTTTTATATGATAGGTACCCGTATTGTAACGGTAATGTCGTGGTGGCCTGGATGTTTAAGACGCCCACTTATGCATGAAGGCGCAGGTTCGTAACGGTAATTACCAATGTGACTTTTGTCGAGTAATGTGTTTTTTTTTATGGAATAAGAGGTAAACGAGCAGACGGGTCACCTGATGGTAAGCGATCAGGGTGCTTACTCTTGAAACCAATCGCAATGTCAATGCGATTTCAATCCAATAAAATTTCAATAATTATCGAATGTCAAAACTATACGACCCCTATTGTAGCTGCTAAAGTAGCATTCAGAGTACGGAATATAAAACCAAACTCAATACCGTTTAGTTCATTCAATATCCACGAAATACGGATGCAATAGGCTCTAGTGTTACGACTCAAGAGTACGAAATTTCACAATGTCAATGTCGATCGATCGGAATTGGATTCAAGAGTAAGTACCCAGCGCCGCCCATGGACACCCGCAACACCAGAGAAGTCACTAATAAGGAGTACGCTTTTTCTCTTGAAGGTTTGAAAGTCGTATCGGTTCGGAAATACCACCGACGACAGATCATTCCACAGTTTTGCTGTGCGAGGAAGAAAGCTACGTGAGAAGCGTACAGTTGTGGCCTGCCAACCATCTATATGTGTAGGTACTTTCTAAGATTATTTAGACACCACTGACAAATGTTGAAGGAAAACATTGTGAGGAAACCTGGGCTTATAATTTCCAATTATAAGTTTGAAATTACCAACCCGCATTGAACGAGCGTGGTGATTAATGCTCAAACCTTCTTCGTGTGAGAAGAGGCCTTTAGTCAGCAGTAGCTACTTACAGGCTGTTGATATGTATGTGATCTTAATACTCTGTGCTCCCAGCGAAACAAAAATCGACATTTATATAGTCTTTTTTTAAGGGGAGAATATC